ACCCACGCCCGTATTGATGAGAATCCTATAATAAGAGGACACGATCTCTGCTTCGACAAGACGTGCCAATGGCAATCGCGTCTAGAAACGTGGAGCGGCAGGCAAAAAACGGTTCGAAATTATGACCGGATGGACGTGATGTCATGTTGTAAAAGTTGTCAGCGGATTAGACTCATGTATTATTATATTCTCTTTACGGTTGTGTGTGGTGTGTGTTACAGATCCGGACACAATCAATTCGTTCGAAGACTATTCTAGAGTTCGGAAGGAGGAACCCGTCTTGCAATGCCGAAGACAGAACTACGCGCCGGATACCTTGTCTTTGAAGCCAGGTTCAGGGGCTACTGAGGGAATCCTGGACTAAGGGGTCCTCGGTCGTCCGTCCCGTTAGCCATGGGCCAGACTGATGGACTGTGAAGATACGAAGACCGAAGACTGCACCCGAGTCCGGATGGGACTCTCCTTGGCATGGAAGGCAAGCTTGACGACCAGATATATAGATCCCCTTCTTTGTAACCGACCTTGTGTAACCCTAGATCCTCCCGGTGTCTATATAAACCGGAGGACTTAGTCCGGATAGGACACTCATTATCATAGCCATACAAGCCAGACCTCTAGGGTTTAGCCATTACGATCTCGAGGTAGATCAACTCTTGTAACACTCATATTCATCAATATCAATCAAGCAGGACGTAGGGTATTATCTCCATAGAGAGGGCCCGAACCTAGGTAAACATCGTGTCCCTTGTCTCATGTTACCATCGACCTTAGACGCACAGTTCGGGACCCCCTACCCGAGATCCGCTGGTTTTGACACCGACACTCGGGTTGGGCCTTTTTGTTAAACTGTAAATATGACGGGCCCAAGCCTGGCCCGGCCCGGCCATCGAGCTCAAAATCTAGGTCTAGACCCGGCCAGTGGACAAGGTCGGGTCGGGCTGCCCATGACTGCAGTGTAATGCGGAGAGCCAACTTCTCGTTGTCGCCAGCGTTCACCTCATGAACTAAGGCGCCCCGGTTGTCCTTGGTGCCGGACACAGCATCGCCACTGCTTCTGGTGCTCGACATTGGGACAGAGAGGGGAGGGGAACCAATGGAGAGCGGAGTGAAGAGTGAGAGAGTGAAGTTAGGGTTTGGTCCAGTCAGGTTTATCAGTGGGGAGAAAGTAGGGTCCATGCGGGCCATGGTAGGCCGGACTGACCCGACGAGGGTGTACGTGCATCTTCATATCTGCACCATATATGGGCTGGTCTGAGCGTTGCTGGTCAATCCGGGTGTATAGTACTCCCTCCGTTTCTTTTTACTCCGCATATAAGATTTGGTCAAAGTCAAACTACACAAAGTTTGACCAAATTTATATAAAAAAATATGAACATCTACAATACTAAAACTATATAGTATGAAAATACGTTTCATGGTGTATCTGATAATATTGATTTCATATTGTGAATGTTTACATTTTTTAATATAAAGTTAGTCAAACTCTACCAAGCTTAGCTTTGACCAAATCTTATATGCGGACAAAAAAAACCGAAGGGAATACAGAGGTTTTTCGAGGAGGCCAATTGGGTCAAGAAAAAGTGACCAGTCAGTACAGAGAGTTCAGGTGTAGATCCAAGTCAACCAGTAGCCTGGCGTCAACTGAAGTCCTGACCAGTGTTTTCTTTTGTATGCGAAAAGCGAGCACTACAAGCATGTTTGGTTGCCATCCACGTTTTGCCACATTTTTGTGCCGTAGGTGTGGTAAATTGATGCAAATGTTTGGTTGCAGTGGCATGTCACACTTTTCCAGTCACATATCCCACTTATCATAGACTCAGTTGCTAGCCAATTTTTTGCCCACAAACGTGGCAACCAATTTGGCCACCACAAAAACTGTACAAAAATGTTTGTGAAACTTTTGTCACAAAGGTTCCTAGCTAGCACGACTAGTCCGGCCGGCCGAAGGACGTACACGTACGGTGCCGACGGATTCGTATCCTTGCTCAGTTGCTCTCTCCCCCAACCTCTAGGTGCGTACGTGCACTGCTCTGGGTACGCCGGGACTGGCGCCAGCGATACGCCGGGGTGACGTTTCCTTTGGTTGGTGTGGGTGTGGGTGTGGTCGGGCCGGCGTGTGCAGCACAGCAGACGGCCTATCTTCATCGATCCCGGCCGCGTGCCTTGTTTCTCTGGCAAACGAACGAGCGTCGTTCAGCGACGTCCGTGTACGCATTCTTATCCATCTACCTCTACTGGCAACGATGGTTCGCCACGAACGGACGTGAGAACAACCCGCCCGGCCGGGGCGAGGGGAGGGGAGGGGTTGTTGGACCTGCAGCTGACGGCGATGCCCTGTTACCGTCGGCCATGCCCTTTTGGGCTTTGAAGGCAACCCAAGGAGTTAGGCCCGTGTCCTGCCGCTGTAGGAGTAGGTGCTGGTAGGTGCATTCAAGAGTCTTTTCACGTAAGTTTCCTGGTCCTTCATGGCCAAGGTTTTTTTTTACCTGATAAAACTTCATATCTATCCATTGACTGTCAAAGTAAGTATAGAAGACCCTAGAAGCATAAAAAAAGAAATTGAAGGTCCATAGCCCATTTAGCGACGAACACAATTACTGGACCGAGCCGAAAACGCGCCGCCGTCAACACCCCTCCCTCACCGGGGCCGGGCAGACTTTGTTGTAGTAAGTAAGAAAGTTGTCGTACAAAGATCACATAGGATAAACACACCAGAACAACAACCACTGTCAATGAAGAAAAACATGTTGATCAAGAAGATCTAACCTCCACACACACATACGCAGACGAATGAAGAACGGATTCAAGCGGATCCATCGAAGACAAACGCCACCCCCCGGCGGTGCATCCCACCCCCTGACGCTAGGCGAGGAGAATATTGTCCTATTTTCAGGGAGCAGTCGCCTGCTTGCCTTTCTGAGCAGGACACAAACCCTAAACGGATACAAAAAGGCACCTACAATTGAAATTAGAGCCCTCCCACTAGTAAGGATCGAGATCCACCATGCCTCTCATGGCCTAAAGCCGCAACAGACGAGATAGATGTGTGTCGCACCGACATGGGGCGAGCAGCCCTAGCTGCCTTTGAGTTGCTAGAGCACAACCAAGGGTACGCGTGCGTAAATTAAAGTTTTAGCGGTGTTCATGACATTGTGTTTTTTTACCATATAAGTACAGATGTGTATTTTCTGCAAGTCCGGTACATTTGATCTTGCGGAACTCGGGTTTGTGTCCTCGTATGACCTTTCTTTCGAATCCATTGAGTTATAATTTGGTCCTCGTATATGTGATGCAGCTGTCTCCTCCCTAAGAAAAGCCTAGGGTTTCTTTGTCTCCCGCCGGCGCCATCGTCCTTCTGCCATGTTTTCGGTGGCCTTAGGGCCATGGCGTCATGGTGGATCCCGACCCTTACCGACGGGAGGGCAATGTTTTCAGATGTTACTTTGAGTTTAGTTGGGCTTTGTGTCTTGCTCAGGAAGACGAGATGGTGGTGGCTCCTTGAAGATGAAATAAGATTTTTCGTGTTTAGCCCCCGTTCCAGTGGCGTGTCTAGCATCGTCGTTGAGCGAGTGAAGGTGTGCCTCCTATGGATCTGTCCTTGGTAGATTTGCTCGGATCTGGTCGTAGTTCGTCTACCTTCGTGTGTCTTCAGATTGGATCATTTTGATCTATGCTACTCTTCATCGACGGGGGTTGTTGTTCTGCTGCGCTAGTCCTATGGGACCTTAGCATGACGATTTTTCGACTGTCAACGAAAACAAGTTTTGCCCGACTCCGATAAGGGAGGGACGACGGCGGTGCGCCTTCGATTCGCTTCAGTGCTTGTAGTCGTCGCTGGGATGTTTATGGATCTGGATGTAACTTTTATTATCTCTTGTATTCGTTGTATCCAAGATGAATAGATCAAAACATTTCTTGCAAAAAGAAAATAATTTGGTCCTCGTACGACCTATCTTTCGAATCCGCTGAGTTATGTTTTGGACTTAGGGACCTCTTCCCTGCACTATAGTGAAGATCATGTAGTCCGACATCATGCACTTGAGGGAATCATCCCCAGACAATGTCCGTTCATCGCTCATGATTCCTATCTTTTGGAACAGATGACTTATGTGCTCTCTAGAACATTTATTGATACTCCCACTGTTTCATAATATAGTGCATATAATTTTTTTTGAGAAGTCAAACTTTAGAAACTTTAACTAAATTTATAGAAAAGACTATTTATATCTAGAACACTAAATATATAAAATATGAAATTATGCCTTATAATGAATCTAACGATATATGATTGACAGTCTATATGTAAATTCTTTTCTCCAAAATCTAGATCAAAGATTGTTGACTTGTACTATTAGGTTTAGAAGGAATGTAAGAGGAGTCTCGGCAGTAGCTTGGCAAGAACTGCAAGATCTATGTGCTAATTAATGTAGTCTTATTTGAGGAACAGGGATACATGTATCTAGACTTTAACTAATTCCGGTCAACTTTCTATTAAATCCATGTATCGTATGCTTTGGGCCGTACATGTTAGATGTCCTGTTACAAAAATTGATTTGCTAACATTCCACTTAAAATTGAAGTGCTTTTGTGGCTCATGTGTAGGAACGGTACATGGACTAAAGATAATCTCTCTAAGAGAGGTGGACAGGAAATGAAAAATATCGTTTATGTGATCATAAAGCAATATGAAGGAAAAAGTGCTAGTCTTTTCTTTTCTCAAGGAAGCAGATGTCAACAATGGTGCTAGTCTTTTCTCCAGGAAAAAAAAAGGCACGCACCACGGAAGAAAAACCCTGATGTGTCCTTCCAACGAGGAGGGGTTGGAGCATTAATTGGGAGATACCTAATATCCATATATGGAGTGGTGATAAACACAACGCCTTGGTCGTCTCCTCCGCCAGCTTCCAACAAGCTATCGGTCTGCTGCTCTGCCTACACCGCCGCGCCGATAGGATAGCTGAGCTGAAGAGCGGCATTCTTGTTCGGCAGCTGAGCGTGGCATGTCGAAGGCGCCGCGCGGCCCCAGGAAGCCGGCGACGAGAGGCCCTTGGTCGACGGAGGAGGACGCCAAGCTGACGAACCACATCGCCAAGCATGGCCTCGGCCGCTGGAGCGACATCCCCAGGCTAGCAGGTATACTGTGTAGAGAGTGTGCACAGTAACTCGCGTCACGGTCGATTGTATAGTGCTAACACATCTGATTTTATCATGCTCTGTGTGTGCAAGTCCGAATCGCTATGCTAGCTACTCCTAGTTTGATGGAATTATCCTTTGAGTAATTGTGTTGTATGGTTGCAATTAATAGGCATTGAGAGGGGCGGGAAGAGCTGCCGGCTGAGGTGGTTAAACTACCTCCGGCCGGACCTGAAGCGGGCCGCGCTCTCGCAGGAAGAGGAAGATCTCATCATCCAACTCCATTCCATCATAGGCAACAGGTACATACAAACTCATCCGACTTAGCAAGGCGGATTGATTGATCGACGAGGAGGTTGTTCATTTCACCATTGACGAGGAAATTCATGCATTGGATGGGCAGCTGGACTCTGATCGCGGCGTGCCTGCCGGGGCGGACGGACAACGGGGTCAAGAACTTCTGGAACGCCTCCATCAAGCACAAGCTCCGCCGGCGTGGCATCGACCCGGACACCCACGAGCCGGTGGTCGACGAGGGCAGCAGGAACGGCGACGCCCAGTACATCCTGCCATCCCACCTTGAGGCAGGTAGCAACGCGTGCAGCCATGGAGCCCTGACGCTGCCGGACTCCATCACTCGCTACGTGGACACGGACCCGCTGCAGCTCCAGCATGGCGTTGTACTTGTACAGCCGGCGGTGTCGAGCTCCAGCACGGTGGGCTCTGACCCGTCCGGCTCCGGCTCCGACACCGGCGAGCAGTGGAACAACCTCGTAGACGGCAGTCAGCTGTTCGATCTGACGGAGAGTAGCACTACTACTACTACCAAGTCGGGCACCACCAACCACGCCTGCTCCATCGCCGACTGGAAGCTGGTTGGAGCTGCTCCGCGAGTACCTTGAATGGCTCGGTTTCGTATTGGGTGTAGTATACTTACTTATATCGGTTGGTGCTTTTTCGGGGGAAAAAATAACGGCTGGTGCTTGAACTGAACTGACTAAAACAATGTCGTCAACGGCGGCGAGCAATCTATTACCGCCGCGCGTGCGCGCAATACTAGACTCACGGGGTGCATCCGACAGACCTTTACGGGGTGGCCAACGCG